CAGACAGTAAATCCCCAGGGAGAAGGGACAGTGTTATTTATTATCCTGAGTACTCAGCACTTAGCATAACGCCTGGTACCAGCTGACATTGAACAACACAGAGCCTTAACGAATTAGGTCATAGCAGACCATACACCATAACAACTACTTGTTAAGGTTTATCTACAAAGATAAGACATACTTTTCAAACTGGTGGATGGGGGCATGCCCAAATGGAGAAAAAACAAACTTAAAGCTCAACCTTTTTAAAATTTTAATACCAGCAAAGGTTTTTTTTGGTTTTTCTTTTTTTTAAGTATGCTTTTTGGTGAGGAAGATTGGCCTTGAGCTAACACCTGTTGCCAATCTCCCTCTTTTTTTTTTTTCTCCCCAAAGCCTCAGTACATAGTTGTATATCCTAGTTGAAGGTCATTCTAGTTCTGTATGGGACACCATCTCAGCATGGCTTGATGGGTGGTGCATAGGTCTGTGCCCAGGGTCGGAACTGGTGAACCTCGGGCCGCCAATGTGGAGCACACGAACTTAACCAGTTGGCCATGGGGCTGAGACGGATCTGCACCTGGGCTGCAGTACGGCTGGTTTCCTGCATCCAGGGAAAGTGTGCAGAGCCAAAAGTGGAAGAAGTACGAGGAAGTCTTCTCATGCAAGGTCTAAAATAGCAGTAGGAAGTAGGGGAAAGGTGTGAATCCATTTAAAACATCCCCATTTTCTTCATGATCACAAAAGCAACCAAGAAACTCCAAGGAGGCCCAAGTCAGCTGAGGAGGAGACCCTTGGCCACAGTATTGCTTTTTGTAGAACAAAATCTTCAAAATGGTTTATGGTTGTTAGGGACTGAATTGTGGTCTCTCAAAATTCACATATTGAAGCCCTAACCCCCAGTACCTCAAAATGTGACTGTACTTGGAGACATGGCCTTTAATAAAGAGGGGATTAAGTTAAAATGAGGCCCTTAGGACGTGCCTTAATCCAATCCTGACCAGTGCCCTTATACAAAGAGATACCAGGGAGCTCGTCCCAGAGGGGACAACCACGTGAAGAGGCAGCAAGAGGGCGGGCATCTGCAAGCCGAGGAGAGAGACCGCAGAGGAAAACAACTCTACTAGCCTGGTGATTTTGGACTTCCAGCCTCCAGAACTGTGAGAAAATAAATTACTATTATTTAAGCCCCCCGGTATTTTGTTATGGCAACCCCCCGAACAGACCAATACAAAGGTCTAAGCTGGGTATCAGCAGTGGGCATTCTGGTTGAATCCCCAGAGACCTCAGCCTTGACTTTAAGTAAGCGTGATGACGTTTACGCACAATGAAAGAACCAACAGAACTCCTGAAGACCTTTACAAGGCTTGTCCTATACTTTTAACTAATCATATCTGAATTCTAGACACATATTACTGAGCATGACCAAATGAAAAAAATAATAGCATGAATAAAATAATAATAGCAGTTAACATTTCTTGAATATCTACTATGTGCCAGGTATTGTTCTGAGCCCTTTACAGGATTAATTCATGTAATCCTTGCAATAATGCTATGAGACAAATAGTATTGTTGCTCTCATCTTACATATGAGTTAACTGGGACACAGAAATTAAGTAATTTGCTCAAGGTCACAAAGCTAGTAGGTGGCAAAGCTAGGATTCTTTGTACACTTTTTTTATTTTTTTCGTGAGGAAGACTGGCCCTGAGCTAACATCTGTTGCCAATCTTCCCTTTGTTTTTCTCCCCAAAGTCCCAGTACGTAGTTGTAGCTCATAGTTGGAGGTCATCCTAGTTCTTCTATGTGGGATGCCACCACAGCATGGTTTGATGAGCAGTTTGAAGGTCCGTGCCCAGGATCCGAACCAGTGAACTCCAGGCTGCTGAAGCAGAGTGCACAAACTTAACCACTCAGCCACAGGGCCAGCCCCTAGGATTCTAACCCAAGTAATCTGGCTCCAGTACAGGAGACATCACACAACTATGTAAAATAGATATTGCCATCCCAAAAGTCAAGCTAAATCAGTTTGTACTGACATAGAAATATGTCCAAAACACATAAATAATATGTAGAATATGATCCTATTTTTATAAATTATAAAAATAACCTGAGTATATGCATAAAAAGGTCTCTAAGAATAAACTCCAAACACTTGACAGTACATATTATCTGAGAGATGAGACCACAGGGAGCTTTTCTTCTCTATGTTCTGCATTTCTGTAAAAAGCAAGTATGTATTAAGTGTTTTAATTTAGAGAAAAGGGAGTAGGAAAGGGGAATAAAAAAGAAAAAAAAATCAGACAGATCACAAGAAAAATAAAACTAAGCCAGAAAGGAAGGGCAAAACAAAGTCAAAAAAAAAGGAAAGATGATAAAGAATAACAGGAAATACTCAAATAGTGGCACACCAGGAAGCCCAGAATGATTAAACAAAACTTTAAAGGTAAAACGAGGTACAGATGAGTCAAACATATGAAATAGGAGATTATGACGCCATCAAGACCCTAGACAGCATATGTGAGTCCGATAAATGTCGAGGAGAGGAAAGGGGCAGGAGGAAAGAGAGCAGAGGCAATGTGGAGATGCTGCGGTGGATGGAGAAGAGGAAAGGAGGCAGGTGGAAAGGCACAGGGGTAGGAAGTGGAAGAGAAGGTGAGTGAGGCAGAGAAGGGGAGGCAGTGATTCAGGCATTAATACCTAAATCAATTCCCACACATTTTCATACACATCAGAAGAGTTGGTGGTATATAAATCTGTAAGACTGACGATATAATTCCCGAAGATCACTACGTATCTGAATAATAAACCAAGCGTGGCAAAGTGTAGTTTCCAAAAGGGACACACTTATCTGTATATTTATCTCATCCCACATGCTTTTCCTACAGTGAGACTGAAGTAGAGCCTCAGTTCCCTCCTCTTGAGTCTGGGCGAGGTCCTGTGACTGCCCTGATCAATGGAGTCACAGCAAAAGGGATACAGTGAGCCCTCACATTCAGGTTAGTGCCTTAGATGGATTTTCTCATTAAATTCTCCCAAAAACCCTATGAAACAAGTACTATTGTTATTATCCTTTTTTACAGATGAGAACACTAAAGCTTAGAAGAGTTGCCCCAAATCACACAGCTACATATAGCAAGGTGGGAATCTTAACCCAAGCCTGCCTATTTCTGAGCTTCCAAAACTATTATGCTACACAGCATCTACATCGGACAAGCAAGGAAATCCCACCCATCCTTCAAGGTCCTGTTCAAATGTCCCTTGATCCATTATGCCCTTCTCCAATCAAAATTAATCTCCCCAACTTCTAGAAATTTAGCCTAGGAAAATAACCAATGGTAAGCTTAAAGATTTGTGTACAAGGACAATTTAATGTTATTTAGTACAGCAAAGAAAAAGAAAACCAACTAAATGCTCAATAAAAGGAGAACAGTTAGGTAAATTGTGGTATAGCCATAGAGCAGAATACTACAGGATGGATTGTGCTTAAAAACAGACACACACACACACACACTCATACAGCAACAACTAGAATGAAACACCAGCAATGTGTTTATCTCTATATAACAGGATTACGTTTGATTTTATTTTCTCTATATTCCTGTTTTCCCATTTTTCTACGCTGAGCATGTATCATTTCTTAATTAAAAAAATTTATCTTTTTAAAAAGTAACTCTCTTCTCTTCTATGCTCCCAAAACATTTTGTACTTTGATGACAGCCCCTGGCACACTCTGCTCCACATTCTACTTAGTCAGTATATGTCTAGGTCCTTGGGAACAGAGACCAAGTTATGTTCGTATCCTCCCCACTCCTAGCACTGGGCTTTGCCTAGAGAAGGTGCTCGATGAGCCGCACAGAAGCAATGCTGCGATGGGAAGGTGGTCACAGAGGGTGACCAACAACCAGCCCTTGTCCCGGCAAGTCAAACCCACAACAGAAAAGCAACCTCCTACAACTGCATCATTAAGAGAACATTGTTTTCTCTGTATGTTCTGTTAATTATTAGAATCTCACTCAAGCCGCTTTCGTGCCACGAGTTTGTTTGAATTCATTTTTTTAAAAAAGGAAAGAAAATGAAGGAAGCCAGCCAGCCAGCGTCTCTGGTTTTCTCTAAGGTTTCAACCAAACTTCCCCTTTAGGCATCTGACCCTCATAGGACCCTCCAGCTACACGAGAGCTAGAGCTGCTGAACAGGCAGGATGAGCCAGAGGCTCCGAAAGCCACCAGCTACAGCGCACTCAGTTTACCTAATGGAGGCTAACCGTTACCAATACCCTTGGCTCCCTCAGAGCTTTTAGATAGCAGGTGCTATTCATTTTTTTATCCCTAATCTCCAGCACAGTGCTCAGAACATAGTAAACACCAATGTTTGTTAGATTAACAAATACATTTCGGGCTGGCCCGGCGCAGCAGTTAACTGCTCATGTTCCGCTTCTCAGCGGCCTCAGATCCACTGGTTCAGATCCCGGGTGCGGACATGGCACCACTTGGCAAAAGCCATGCTGTGGTAGGTGCCCCACATATAAAGTAGAAGAAGATGGGCATGGATGTTAGCTCAAGGCCAGTCTTCCTCAGCAAAAAGAGGAGGATTGGCAGTAGTTACCTCAGGGCTAATCTTCCTCAAAAACAAAACAAATGAATTTGATGTTGCAATACAATTAGAATCTGGACCTAGGGCTTCCACCCCTGGGGTGTCCTTTCCTGCCCACCAATCACCCTGTAGAGACTGAACTCCCTCCTGGAGCTTGTGTGAGACAGATAAGGAATGCATGGGCAAGAGGAAGGCTTTGTGAGCCCAAGAGGTCAGGCTAGGCCCCAACAGCCACCCTTGGCCGCACTTTCAGTGACGTGGGTCAGCTGGCACAGCCCTCTGAGGATGGCGGAAAGTGGCAGCGGCAGTGTAGGGCAGGAGTTTTCACTACACTGCTCCCTGCTGCCTTCTCTCAGCAGAATTTCCAGTTCTACCTGCTCAGCTCCTCCCCTCCCCCACCCATCTCCCCATTACAAGGGAAGGTGGCGCACACCCACCTGCCCAGGGCTCACTCCAGGGGCCTGGCATCCAACTTCCTGCCAACCAGCTGCTTCCTCCTATCCAACCCACACACTGTGAAACAAACGACATGAGCTGGACTTTAGACAGAAACCCTGCTTATCAGGGAGTCCCAGGCAGATGAACTCTGAGTCTTCAGCGCCTGGAAAACCCCAGGATACATCCACTCACACTGCCTTCCACAACCCCCTCACAACGCGGAAACCTCTTCCATAACTACATTTGACGAGTGGTGATCCAGGTATTTCATGAACCTCTGAAAAAAAGGAAGCAGGTCTGAGTTTAGAGATCCCCAAGGTCTCTCCCCGATGCTAACAGACGTGAAAAACCAGCTCCATTATTTCCTGATCTATCACATAAAATGTGTGTAGCTTTTAAATCTCTTTGAGCAGAAGTGTCAGCCATTTCTGTGTCCATAGAATAGGTGCCCCTGGGGCCAGTTGACTTGTGAGGGGGGGTGGGGAGGAGGGCGATCCTAATGGCCAAGCCCACAACACCTGTAATACCAATATGAAAAGATCTCCAGGGTATATTAAGTTAAATAAACAAGATGCAGGACGCAGTAGAACGTACATAGTGTGCGTCTTTTTGTGTAAGAAACAGAAGAAGAAACAAATTTGTATTTATATACACTAGTATCTGCTTAACAAAACACTGGAAAGGTACATAAGAAACTACAGAGAGATAGGGAGGGAACAGGAACAGGCTGGGAGCGAGATAACTCCTTTAATATCATCTGGATTCTCAAACCACGTCAATGTATTAACCTATTCTAAATAAAGAAACTTTTTCTTTTTAATTACAGCAGCTCCACCTCAAGCCAAAATTAGGCTGGAGACCCCAGACAAGCCCAGATCACAAAGAAACTGAAGAGAAACAGCAGGAGGCGAAAGTGTCCTGGAGCTAGGAAAAGACAAAGGTTCTGGAATTCCACTACCACAAATTTCCTAGTTTCGGCTACTGCCAGTCACCGGTTTCGAGGGAACAGCTCTTTCCTGGGAGTAAATTCAGCTGGGAGAGGGAGGGGAGGAGGAGTGACTCACCAATCTACAGTTTCGAGGTATGTCTAACCCTGAATGGCAAAGCTAGAAGGGCTCGAGTTGGAAACATCAGCAGGAAACACCACGACTCAGGCTCACAGGCCGCAGTTCCTCCCTCCTGGAATGCCTCAGTGGGGACACTACAGGGGTGGGGGGCAAACACCAGGGTTCCAACCTAGGTTCCCCTCTCTCCCCTGTGGTTACCCCAAACATCATCCTGACCACACGGCACCCCGCTGAGCGGAAATGCCTTTCCCTACCTGGGAGGTAGCCGGGAACTTTTCTAAGTACAGGCTCTCTAGAGGGAGGGAGACTGGTACTCTTTTAGACACGAGTTTTGCTTTTCCCAAGCCCAGTGCTCCCTGTGCTTCACCTCCCATCCCCGCCCGAGCAGGCTCAGGCCTTCCTCTCCGCTAGCTTCCCCAGCCTGCAGTAGGGCCTCTGCTTGACTTGATCATGTCTTGCCCTTTCCTCTTCCTCCCTGATGGCAGAGCCCACAATGAGCAGCAGCCCTGGAGGGAGGGAGAACACATGGGAATCTTGTATTTGCTTCCGACGTCCCAGGGGCAAAGGACAGATTAGATGCCCAAGAAAGAACCCCTGCCATTTGGATCTATCAGGGTCTCCCTGCTTTCTTTGACCTACTCTACGAGGGGCAGCATTCTTTCATCCTCATAAAATCCAAAGGGGATATCAGCTGCCCAATAACAAATAATCCCTTCACATATATGTAATGTAGCCATTAGCCCAGTTGATCCTCAGGACAGGCTTGGGACAAGTATTATTACTCCTTTTTACAGATGAAAACACTGAGCTACTTAGCCTAAGATCACAAAGAAGGCAGAAAGCCAAGCTAGAACCCTGGGAGGATGACCTTGCCTCTAGTCCCATCTTCATTGTACTAATCAAATCACTCCCCCCAGCTCTAGCCTGATTTAAATGTGACAAAGTCAGTTCCTCACACCCCCACCCTGCCCCCCTCCAACACCTTACTACCCAGGACCCACTGTCCTGTCAAGCTTACATAATATCATCTCAGGCTCCCTCTGAACCACTGTTTCTTGATTCCCTGAACATCCCCAAGCTCAGAATGGTGCCATCACAACGCTGTCAGAGCCAGTATATCACTGTGTGATTATCACAATATAGAAAATTAGAGGGAGAGAAAAGAAGAGGGAAGGGGAGCAGCACACAGTTCCAGGAAGCTTACAAGCCTGACAAATACTGTCACAAATAAAGTCACTGACTCAGAAACTTCTAGGTTTGGGGGGAAAAGTACTATCACAGTACAAGAGTTGGGAAAGTCTTTAGTACTGAGCCACACAGAACCAAAAAATGACCATGAGTGTTAGCAGTTCTAAGATAAATGCAGAAGTAAATAGGTGAGGGTAGGAAAAGAACGAAAATTGAAAAAAAAAAAAAAAGGAAGGGGAGAATGGAAGAATAGAATGAAAGGGAGAAGTGGGAGAATAAAGAATCTGGTGGGAAAGAAAAACGGAAAAAAGAAATAAGATAGTGGACAGTATCCCAAACTGATGTCTGTGATAATGGTTCCTGTGCCACAGGCTGCCTGAGATGCAGGATTCAGGAGTGGAAAAGGAGAAGGGAATCAGGGGACTTTGGATCCATTCCCAGGAACTTGTGTCAATCTGGAAAAGTCATTTCCTGTCTTTGGACCTGTTTCCTTATGTGTACAATAGAGAGAGGATTAGACTTGCCTCTGGTCCACTCCACCCACAGGGTTTATGTTTTTGTGATAAGGGACAAAGGATTAGTCAATCCATCTGTCTCAGGGCAGGGAATCTATTTCCATCCTTCAAAACTGAGCAAAATGAAATACCTCATAACCACGGATACTGAGTGTAAATGTTCATTTCTTTTACACTTCCTAAAACATGGACCTTGAGAGAAAAACAGAGATTCATGCAGAACACATACTGACACAACTATCGACATAAGCACACGCACACTCAAGAATCAGACAGATACACATACAGGTGCTGACACAGGTTGACTGACGAAGGCACAAACCTTTCACTCAGCCCGGTACAAACACATCTATAGACAGAGGCATGCCCCAGCAAGCCAGCCTCATTGTTCCACAGTAAAGGGAGTTTACAAAGGAAACAAACCCTCTCATACACGGCCAGGGGGAGGGCAGAGTTCTGGCTTAGAGAAGGATCCAGCCAACCAACAGACTGGCCCTCCCCCTGGGAATAGTCACTCAGTCAACAACATTTGTTAAAGACTTTTCGGGTAGCCTAGAGAAAAACTCTGAATTCTGTGCTCTGAGAAATTTCAGATTCCAGTCTTATTTCGTCTTGAGAGTTTGCGCCCGCTTTTCCCAGAGCAACCACCGCAACCCAAAGATCCAGGGGAGCTAAAGAGACCCCTTCAGCAACAGCCAGGGAAACATACCACCTCACCCCACCTCCTTTAGATTTTCTCTGAGAACCTTCAAGAGCAGAGCATCCACGGGCCAAGGGAGTCAGGGGGTGAGAGGCTCATGGCTTCTCTTGGGTTGCTCGCTGGTGTCGGATGAGTACTGGAGGGGAGGAATGCCCTTCCCAGGTGCGTGTGGAGGAGGAGGGCTGGGTAGACGTTTGTGGGCAGGGTCCTCGCGCCTATGACCCTCACCAGTATGTGAGGATAGGCAAAAGGGGAACCAACCCCTCCCCGTTATTTTTGGTGTATATGCGGAAAAGGCAGCTCACTCCCGGTGGGCGTAAGGGAAAAGGTCACAACTCACTGGTATGGGGGAGGGGAGCCAGCCACTCACCAGGGGAGGGGAAGGAGAAAGAAGAGAACTGAGCCAGAGGTGGAAAACAGGACCAGGAGAGAGAGGCAGGCAGGTTTCTGAACTCCTCCCCACGCGGGCAAAGGGCGTGGGGAGCGCCTCCCTCCAACCTCTGACCCGACCCACCGATTTCTCCCGAAACTCCGGGAACTTACACAGGATCACCGATATGAAGAGAAGCAACTGTTTTCTCCCGGCTTTCGCCTTTGTCCCCATCATGATGAGGATCCCGAAACGACAGCGGCCCCCGAAGCCCTGGGAACAGACACAGCTTCGCCCACAGCAGAACGGGGACTAAACTCCAGCCGCCAGGTTGAGCCCCGCCCGGCTCTTCCCTCCACGCCCGATTGGTCGGCGCCCCGCCCCTGCACATTCCGATTGGTGGAGGCAGCCGCCGCTCCGTTGAGTGACTCACCGTCGCCAGGTGCAACTCCGCCCACTACTCCCCACCCGGGCGGATTGGCGCCTCTCCAAGCCCGAGCCGCCCTTATTGGCCGGTGAGACTGTGGCGTAAGGAGCCAATTCCTCACCTTCTGCAGGTAAGGACATCCTGATTGGGCGGCGTTCTTGAAGTAGGGATTTTCTGACTGGCTGGGTTCTGAGTTTGAGCTGGAGGACTAGAGGAATCGCTAAAAGGAGGAGGCAGGGAAGGTAGTCGTACTGCGGGGCTCGCGGGGATGGGCTTGATTTTGTCTTTTGTCGTTTGTTGGTATGTAAATTGCTGGGTGTTGCAGAAACCTTGGTCCCTTTGGCAAGTGAAAATCACATATTCATATGCGAGAGTTGGGGGAGAGGACCAGGAGAGAAGTGGAATGATACCTTAACACAACCCCCAAACGGTGTTCCTCTGTCGACCTGGTTCGCAGCGTTCACAGGCTTTGAGAGTTGGGCTGCGCAGAGAAGAGGAAAAAAGAAAAGAGGGGACGGGAGTGCTCAACTCAAAAGTGGGAAAAGCAGAATTAGAGTATCTCAGAAAGAACTTTAATACACATGTGCGCCAAACACACCCAGATAATACAAACTGACCTACAGATGCTCTATAAACATTGTGAGTGATCGTGGATATGTCCTTTACGCGTCAGATCTGCCAGCAGAGCCCTACATTTTAGAATTATCTTCTCACTGTGACTAATAGTTGGGTGATGACTAAGACCCTCTTTCTATAGACTGTTGATACTCAAGCTTTCTGTTAATATTTACATTGTTACATCTTTTTAAATTGAAACTCATGCTCAACACCTTTCCTATTTCTAGTTTCTTTTTAAAAATTTTTTATTTTGTTAATTGTAGTAACATTGGATTATAACAATATAGAGCTTTCAGATGTACATTGTAATATATTTTGAATTCTGTGTAGATTACATCATGTTCACCACCCAAAAACTAATTATAGTCCATCCCCTCACATGTGAGCCTAATCACCCCTTCTGCCCTCCACCACCCTTCCCCTATGGCAACCACCAATCCAATCTCTATTGCCATGTGTTTGTTTGTTTTTATCTTCCACTTATGAGTGAGATCATACGGTATTTGACTTTCTCCCTCTGACTTATCTCACTCAGCATAATACCCTCAAGGTCCATCCATGTTGTCACAAATGGCCGGATTTCATCATTTCTTATGGCTGAGTAGTATTCCATTGTGTATAAATACCACATCTTCTTTATCCATTCGTCCCTTGATGGGCACCTAGGTTGCTTCCAAGTCTTGGCTATTGTGTATAATGCTGCAATGAACATAGGGGTGCATGTATCTTTATGACTTTGTGTTTTCAAGTTCTTTGGATAAATACCCAGCAGTAGGATAGCTGGATCATATGGTAGATCTATTCTTAATTTTCTGAGGATACTCCGTACTGCTTTCCATAGTGGCTACACCAGTTTGCACTCCCACCAGCAGTGTACGAGGGTTCCCTTCTCTCCATATCCTCTCCAACACTTGTTGTTTCCTGTCTTGTTAATTATAGCCATTCTGACCAGAGTGAGGCGATACCTCATTGTGGTTTTGATTTGCATTTCCCTGATAGCTAATGATGTTGAACATCTTTTCATCTGCCTGTTGGCCATCTGTATATCTTCTCTGGAGAAATCTCTGTTCAGATCTTTTGCCCATTTTTTAATTGGGTTGTTGGTTTTCTTGTTGTTGAGCTGTATGAGTTCTTTGTATATTTTGGATATTAACCCCTTATCTGATATATGGCTTGCAAAGGTCTTCTCCCAATTGTTAGGTTGCCTTTTCGTTTTGTTGATGGTTTCCTTTGCTGTGCAGAAGCTTTTTAGCTTGATGTAGTCCCGTTTGTTCATTTTTTCTTTTGTTTCCCTTGCCCAGTCAGACATGGGACTTGAAAACATGCTGCTAAGCCTGATATCAGAGAACGTACTGCCTATGTTTTCTTCTAGAAGTTTCATGGTTTCGGGTCTTACATTCAAGTCTTTAATCCTCTGCGCAGCCCAACTCTCAAAGCCTGTGAACGCTGCGAACCAGGTCGACAGAGGAACACCGTTTGGGGGTTGTGTTAAGGTATCATTGATTTTTGTGCATGGTGTAAGGGAACGGTCTACTTTCATTCTTTTGCGTGTGGCTGCCCCGTTCTCCCAACACCATTTATTGAAAAGACTATCCTTCCTCCATCGTATGCTCTTGGTTCCTTTGTTGAATATTAATTGTCTGTAAGTGTGTGGGTTTGTTTCTGGGCTCTCGATTCTGTTCCATTGATCTGTGTGTCTGTTTTTATGCCAGTACCATGCTGTTTTGGTTATTATGGCTTTGTAGTATATTTGGAAATCACAGAGTGTGATATCTCCAGCTTTGTTCTTTTTTCTCAGGAATCCTTTGGCTATTCGTGGTCTTCTGTTGTTCCATATCAATTTTGGGATTCTTTGTTCTATTTCTGTGAAAAATATTGTTGGAACTTTGATAGGGATCACACCGAACACTATAAAACATTGTTGAAAGAAATCGAAGAAGACGCAAAGAAATGGAAAGATAGGGGCTGGCCCATGGCCGAGTGGTCAAGTTCATGCGCTCTGCTTCAGCAGCCCAAGGTTTCGCCGGTTCAAATCCTGGGCGCGGACATGGCACTGCTGGTCAAGCGATGCTGAGGCGGCATCCAAAATACCACAACTAGAAGGACCCACAACTAGAAATACACAGCTATGTACCAGGGGACTTTAGGAGGAAAAGGAAAAATAAAATCTTTAAAAAAGAAAGAAATGGAAAGAATTCCATGCTCTTGGATTGGAAAAATTAACATCGTTAAAATGTCCAAACTTCCTAAAGCAATCTCTAGATTCAATGCAATCCCAATCAAAGTTCTAGTTTCTAATTTACAATGATTAATTTTAACTGAACTTAGTGTATCCAGGTTGCCTGTGGGAAGACTTTCAGGACATTATCTCATTGCAAGTAAAATCCGCATTTATCCAAAACAGTGGTGTTCTTTGACCTTTTACTTCAAGCATTTCACCTTTGGTCTCATTCCTTTGTCCACATCTCTTGGGCCAAAGGTCCACTTCCGGTTCCACCAGAAGCAAAGTTTATCAAGCAATATTTATCAAGCACCTACTGGGTGCTGAAGGGAAATACAAGCAAATATAAACCACAATCCCTGACTTCAGATGATTTGCAATCTACTTCCTAGACTAATGCAGGAAACAAGACAATATGTAACCAAAAGAGAAACTTCGTATTACTAAATCGAAACAAATACTTGGGTGGCAGCCATGTGTAAAGCTCTGTTCTTTTCCTTCAAAGGAATTAGTCTTGGAGAGAGAGACATATACAGGATGTTAAAGTATGAGAGTAAAGAGGATCAAGGGAAGAGCTTAGAGCAGGGACCAATCACTGTGGACTGTGATTGTCAGAGAAAACTTTAAGATGGGAGCACTTGAGCAGGGGTTTAAAGGAACTCTAAGACTGATCTAGTCTTTAGGTAGAAGGGTCATCTTAGAGGTCATTTAGCTCATCCTCTCACCCTTCACAGGGAGGCCCATACAACCACCCAGAATTTAGACATCCTCTGCTTAAACTCTTCTTAAAATTCTTAAGGCAGACCATTCTGCTTTTTGTACAATTCTTAATTATTAAAATATCCTTTCAACAAATTGAAATCTGCCTCCTGGTAACTTTCAGCCACTGTTCTCTGGCATTACACAAAATGTCTCATTATTCTTTGCCAATGACAGCCAGCCCTTCCTTCATGTATTTTAAGATACTTATTATAAGCCTTCTGAGTCTTTCCTTCTCCAAGCTAAACATCCGTATATCCTTCAGATAGTCTTCATATGGCATGATTTCGCAAGCCTTCCACCCCATAATGAGTCTCCCTCCTTTAGATAGTTCCTTGTTTGTTCATAAACTAGGCATTGAAGAAGCCATCTCTCTATGGGATGGACACATCTCAGTTCAGACCCAGGTCCCCAATATCTAGCTGTGTGTCTTCAGCCAGTTCACATCTCTCTGAAATTTTCTGCATCCAGAAGGTAGTTATGATGATGGTAATATCATTTACCTTATGGCAAAACAGGATTAAATAATATAATAGACATCATATGCTTAGTACAGGGCAAGGTACATTTTAAGAAATGAAATGGTATCTACTTGCATCACCCTTATTTACAGCCTAAGAACACATTTGCAAATATAATAGCCATATTACACTATTGAGTTATAGTCAATTTGTAGCAAACTAAAACCCATAAGCCTTTTATTTTCACTTGGACAACTATCTTTTTTTTTTTTTTTTTTTTTTAGGAAGGTTAGCCCTGAGCTAACTACTGCCAGTCCTCCTCTTTTTGCTGAGGAAGACTGGTCCTGAGCTAACATCCATGCCCATCTTCCTCTACTTTATATGTGGGATGCCTACCACAGCAGGGCTTGCCAAGCGGTGCCATGTCAGCACCAGAGAACCTCAGGCTGCTGAGATGAGGAAGATTCAAATTTGACCGCTGCGCCACCAGGCCAGCCCCTCTGGACAACTATCAAATCAGGTCTCTTACATCCTATACTTGTGCAGTTGTTTCTTAACCAAAGTACATTTTGCATGTATACCTATTCCATTTTATATCTTTTTGTTTTGAAAATGAAATATTAATATGTAGAAAAGTATACATGAAATGTTAATAATTAATATTAAATGAAAAAGTAATTACAAATAGTATGTATCCCAGTTATTTTTAGGTAAAACATTTGTGCATACATTTACAAAGCATGAAAGTAATTTTAGAGTATGCAAATAATTTTATATTCACCAAGTTCCTTTTCCCATATAGTTGCTTAAATGAATAATAAACTTTTAAATTGTATTGTCATTGACAT